TTCAAAGTACAGAAAAAATTTATAAATAAATTAAGCTTTTTTTTTTTAACAACCAAATTAAATCAACAGTTAGTATTCAACTGTATACTGCCGACTGCATCTCTACAGGTACCAAAGCGCAAGGGTTTGCCATTAGTAATCCGTTTGCTAAAGCAACTAACAAAAGTCAGAATAGCAGCTGATGACAACAGTAGAAGTGTGTTTCTAAGTAGTTCAGGCTCAGTATATTTCACCTGTATCAACAACAGTCAACCAACTGAATAAAACCGTACTGAACTGCTGTGCACACTAAAACTGAACAGTGCCAACACCAAAACCAATTTGAATCCACATCATTCCAGCGACGACCACTTCATTCACTGACTCACTCACTCTTTCAGTGATCAACTACGGGTACTGAATGACTTTAAAGTTTCACTCAAATACTATTAATACTAAACTTTTTCATCATTTTTTTTCCAACTTATATACATGTTTTCCAATTTTTCTCTCTTGTATTTATTGATTTTTCAGTTTGCTTTATTATTTCTTTTGTTAGTTTCCATCAGAAATAGACAAAAAAAAAAAAAAAAAAAGAGAAAGAAATCTTGTTAAAGTTACAAATAAACTGAAAAACAACGATGAACGACAAAGACAAAAACAACAACAACAACAAATGTAAATACCCTTATTTGTATAAAAACTAAATTTGTTCGATGATTTTTCAATTTTTTTCCTTCTCTTTTTTCTGTAGAAATTCATGCAGAACCAGTATTGAAAGAGGTAAAAAAGATAAGATGACAAGCAGTTGAATAAATAAATGAGAATAAATAATTGAATAACCTGAATCAGTGAACAAGAAACATATAAAGAGAATAATATACAGTTGTATAGAGAAAATCAAAAAAAAAAAAATTTACTCATTTTTAAGATTAAGCAAAACAAAACAAGGAAAAAAATCCGTAATTTTTTACGTATTAATATCTTTTTCTTGTTTTTGTTCCATTAAACCGCATAAATTATTTAAGTGTCTATGTGGGTGTGTTTCAGTTGTATCAATCGTAAAGGTGCTCTTGCAGAAGGAGAGGAAAAAAAAACATTAAAAATTTACAAGGCGAATAAGATAAAGAAAAAAAAAACAGATAACAAGGTATCGTAAAAAAAGGAAAACGAACAAAAGAATTGAGTGAATGAATAAATAAAAAAAAAAACAACAAATAAAACCGTGCAAAAAAAAAAAAATGAGAGCTGTATCAAATACAATTGAATTCTTTTTTTTTTCTTTTGTAGAAAATTCTAGCAAAAATTCAAAATTTCTGTTTAACTCAGAAAAGATGAAAAAAAAGAAAAATACAGAAGCGAAAAATTAGACAAATTTTTGTCAGCTAAATCCTTTTTTTTTTTTACCTTTCCATCCAAAGCGGCCCGGTAACTCCATTTTCTCCACCATTTCTCCCTCATCGATACGATTCTCGTTTTTGTCGTCGAGTAACGTCATCAAAATACACCGAGAAATTTGCTGTTCAACAGAGCAGAACAGCGTAACCGCAGAAAGTGTGTAAACTTTTGTGCTACAAATTAATTCTGTAGTCTAATCATTGACAAAATAGATTATGAAATAAATATAAATTTTGCCAAAAAAAACTTGAAACACAAACTTTCAGTATCTGATATTAGTAGATAACGGGGAGTAAACTTGGCGACCATCAAATACAATCAAAAATTGTCATTTTTTTTTTTTACAGCTTTATTGAATAAAGTTGTAAAAATGAGCGTTTACTGTAGAAACTTAAAGAAAAAAAAAAGCTTTCCTTCACCTTATCTTTCTTTGTTGAAAAATGAGTTTTTTCTTTTATAGTTATTTTTGCAACAGAAGCAGACGTTTTTTTTTTTCTTATTTTGCTCTTTTAATCATAGATGAAAGAGTAGGTTAAGCAAGAGGCAATGTGAGCAATACAATAGGTGTATATTTGTCAGAAGTAAATGAAAATCAAAAGTGGAGATTTGAATGAGACGTCAAAGTGAAAAGAGTAGAAAACGGTTGAAGAAAAAATTGATTACAAAGTATCGCTTCA